GTCTATTAACAGAGAGGAACAAAAAAAAGCAGGCCCGTATTCCAAATAATACCGTTTTGTAGTACTCGTGGAGCTCTATCATATCTGGTTTAGTTGTTTCGAAAATATTGACTCTGTAATAAATTATGGCAGGGCCCGCGAAGACCCGGAAAAGGCCCGGATTACAAGTATGCTGAAATGTTTTATTGAATACACTGTAGAAGTTAGAGGTATCTTAAAAACTCAAACAGCAACTTTGAGCTAATTTTTTCTCGCTTTCTGTGGAAGATATTAAAAATGTGTCCACTGACAAAATGTTTTTGATATGTCTTTAAACAGCTTTCACGGTATGCTCGATAAACCCTATAAATTAGATACTTGTAAAATTTTTATATGAATCGATTGGAAATTTTGTGGACAACGAAAAACTCTCTTGAAGCCTCGTAGTGGTGGGCCTGCTAATGCTTGCCTTGTAGTTTGTAGTTGTAGTCTAGCAGGCCCAACTGACGCATTTCTATTACGCGCTAGATTGGTCTGCTAATGTTTCTCATGTAGTTTGTGGTCTAGCAGGCCCAAACGACGCATTTCTAATGCGCGCATGTTGGGTCTGCTAATGTTTCTAATGTAGTTTGTGGCCTAGCAGACCCAACTAATAAATTTCTAATACACGCGGTATGGGTCTGCTAATGTTTCTCATGTAGTTTGTAGTCTAGCAGGCCCAATTGAACCAACTTCAATGCGCGCAAGATTTCGGTCTGCTAATGTTTCCTATGTAGTTTGTAGTCTAGCAGGCCCAACTGACTCATTTCTAATGCGCGCTAGATTGGTCTGCTAATGTTTCTCATGTAGTTTGTGGTCTAGCAGGCCCAACTTGCTACTCCTACTTTGAGCGCAATCATCTCGATTTCGGTAAAGATATCAAAAAACTGTAAACTACAAAAATGCTGGAAATATTATGAAAAACATGTTATCAGTTGACTAATTTTTGATATCTTTTATAGGAATTGAGATAATTTAGCTTAAAGATTTGCTAGATCGTTCTGATAATGTTTCTGATGTAGTTTGAACTCACCGAACAATCAATTTCAGGCTCAAATTGCATTCCACAATCACCTATATAGTAGGAAACATATTTAAATGTATAAAAATCTTCCGATGTGATAATTTCAGAACTATTTATTAGAGAACCATTGAAAGTAGTGAGAACTCCATCAAACATTCCGGAATATTCGCTTGTACAATTTTTAGTGGCTTCGATCTAAAATATTATTGAGTTTGACACAATTTAGTATTTAATTGATTAAGTTTAAAAACTAATTTACTTTAAAAGAAACCTTCTCCAGCGATTCCGACGCCTCTTTATCATTCCTTATCTTTCTAATATCTCCCATTTGATACAGTGCACATAACAATGAACTATTTCCATAAGCCAGAATACAAAATTGCCCAGAAAAACAGTCCTGGACACAATCATCCCATGAAATACCCATTCTTACAGACAATGGATAACTGGAGTATGGCTCAGGGGCTCCCCAAACGGTCACCATTTTATAGGCAACTTGAATAGAGGCCGGGAAGAATAGGAGAAAGAAAACTGGGATTAGAAGAGAAGGATTCATTTTGGGCCAAATTTTTGGCAAAAGGAAGTGAAAAAGAATGAAGAGCAAAAAGTGTGAAAAAATTCGAAAAGTCGTAGTTATGGTTTTGGTAACTATGAGATATTCACAGCTTGAAAACAAAGTAGATTTTTGGTCCTTTAGGGAATTTTCAGTTTTTGTTTAAAGTTTCGAACACGGAGATTCTTGAATACACTGTAGAAATTAGAATTATGTTCAAAATACATCAAAACTTCGATTTTTAGGAGATTTATACATCAATCGATTGGAAATTTTGTGAGCAACAAAAAAGTCTCTGGGAGGTATATCTGAAAATCGGTTAGAAAAAAGTTACAAGCTTTCAAAGAGAGCCAGGTGCGCATCGTTGTGGTGGGCCTGCTAATGTTTCTTATGTAGTTTGTAGCATAGCAGGCCCACTGGTGC